GGACAATGCATCATTGGTCGCTCGAATCACAGTGCCGCTCCTGGCCAACGACTGGTGGAGGGTGCGTAAGGTAGACAGAAGCACGGTGGGCGTGCACACAAGACGGGGGCAGTGGAGATTGAGAGAGGGGCGCAGAGGCAAGACGAATGGACAGAGGGAAAGGGCAAGAACACACCACAAAAAGCAGGCAGGCAACCAGCACAATACTTCCTTTTTACGAGTAATACAATCACAACTCAGCATCGAAACTGAAAAGGAAAAACAACGAATCCGTCGGACCAAACACTAGCTAGCCAGAAATTTGGTTGAAATGTTGTTACCTGTTAAGTTAGAACATTGGTAGAAACACAAATTAGGGTTCACAAAAAGGTATTATTATGACAAAAACTTGGCTACTATCCATTTATAAATCCATGTTTTGGTCATAGCATCGAACTTTGATAAGCTGCACTTCGGTCAAGATCCAAACATATGCCAGGACTTTGATAAGCGACAGCAAATCCTCACCCGCAAAGCTGCACCACAACAACGACAGACTCCGGCTCTATCACAAGATGAAGGAGCCCACTTATTTTGATCCATGTGGCCAAACAAACAGGAAATTCATCTCAAAATCTCAGTGGCTGTAGTCTGGAATAAAATTCAAAAGCTAACTAGAACGAACATATTGTATCAAAACAGATTGGCATGCAGTTGTAGCAAAATTTGGCACAGTCGAATCAGATATTTCCCATAAAGAGCAAGCGCAGTTTGTGATCATCAGATGTTTAAAACGCCAACGAAACCTACATCCCAGTGCTAGTTTCAACAGAGAGACAGAACCTCCAATCCCGCAACTGCAACATTCAAGATGGCATACCAAAAGACTGCTTTGCTATCCAAGACCCTATTATCAGGACACAATTCCACCTTTGGGCACCTACCTAGTTAGTCAACTCCATGATGGCACTGACAATGTCACCGCCCGCAGCCTTGAGTGCCTTCACAGCCCTGGACCTCGGCACGGAGGCCTGCGTCATCACGAGCTCAACGTCCTTCTTGTCAACACCAGTCTCATCAACCTCCTCGTCGTCATGGGCTGCTGCCATGGACAGCTCGCCCTTCGAGATGACGCTGCTCGGGCTCGGCGCCTTGAACTGCTCCGCCGCTTGTGAATGCAGCTGAGTGCTCAGGTCCTCAATCTTGGCCTCCCCGAACATGACGTAGGTATCTGAGTTTGAGCTCTTGAAGACATCTGGCTTGGAGAGGACAAACAAAACCTGCAATTGTGTGGAGAAGTTAAGAAAATGCAACAACCAACAGCATATAATTATGCTACAGGGAACAATGGCATGAAGGGGCAAAGATGCTCACGCTCTTGTTCTTCTTGATAGTTACACGGCTCACACCAGTAATGGCCTTCATGCCAAGCTTCTCCATGGCTTTCCTGCTCTTCTTCTCGCTCCTACTCTGCCTAGATCTTCCACTAGCATCAACTCCTAGACACAGAAAGCACAGACGCATAATGTCAGATTTTCAACATTTTGCACAAGACCAGAACTCTACAACCTAAGACATAGTTCACTTCATGGATTATTATCTGTAATCATTGGAAATGGCAAGTGTAACATTCATATAACAGTACAACAAACAACTTCTCAAACAAGACTGAACAGAAACTGTGACAGTGATTAAGTCTTCTTGGTACACATTATCAATTTTTGAATTTGAACAAGATGTCCCTCTTAGGGCAAGATACTAAGGATTAGCTACTCGCATAATGGTTAATGGAAATTCCAGCAACATTTCATACTAAATGCATTGAAATGGATCACCTACCAAGATTAGACTTGCAAAAGCAAGATTTTACATTCATGATTTGCTCCTAACAAACTAAATGCTATAGCTGAACATTCATGTACATGTTAATCCAGGTTGAAATTGATACAAGGTGCCACCTCAGTACAGAGCTAAATAATTTAGGAATAAGTGAATATGATACGGTTCCAAAGAATTGAGAATATAAACCACAAAGGCATAGTGATAGTACAGAAAGAACAGAATATTAGAGAGTACAAACTGGTCAGTGTCTAATCTTCAAATAAAAAACAGGTCAAAGTGAACCAAAATAGGTAAGTACAGAGTTTGTTTCATTGAGGAACAGATCAGAAACAATTTCTGTATTATGTAAATGCCAAAAATTAGCCCAATAGAAATAAAATAAGCCATTGATTCAGGAGTTGAATACGCAATGTTTAGTTTAAAATTTGGGTATGGGCAATGACTTCAGATGTTTATATTTATGTTAGAACTTAGAAGGGCAGCATTACAATAAGAAATGGGCTTATCTTTAACTAAGTATTTACTTGAACTAAATAGAAGGAACTGCAGAATTTCATCATACCCGCAACGCCATCGTCATCTTTTTCATCCTCATCCTCATCATCGTCCTCATCGTCGTCATCATCATCCTCAACGATAGGCTCATCTCCCTGAGAGTGTGCAGTACAAATATCATATTATTTGAACGTCGAAGTATTAAACACTAAGCAGCACTCCCTCAGAACAGAGGATATGCAGATGGGGGGAAGCAGAGTTAGCCGTATTCAGAAATGAAAAAACGGTAAACGGTCTGCCCACAGTGTTATCTTTCCAGCATGAAGATGTGAGCACATACTAAGTAGCATCAGCACAAGATAAACAGGAATGAAACCCAAAAGCAAAAAAGAGGAAGAGTATGTACATTACAAGGAACAGTTGTCTGCATTGACAACAGAAGCTACGCTCACAAATTCATATTGTTGGTACAGGAAATATGCCAGATATCATATAAGCATACACAATTACACACATGGTAGTCAGATCTCAACTGATTTCCAAAGCTAATTAACAAACAAAGTCGCATTTCCACTGTAGCAATTCGCCAAAGGTGACTGATTTATCCATGCTCGCTTAAAATTCCTTTCAGAATTGTATCCATAAGACAAAGCAGTTGCATTTCAGTTTGCAACACTACAGATCTCCCAGAAAGGGAAACACAAACCGTACATAACAAGGGCAACTGGCAAACAAGTCACAGCCCACAATCTGTAAAACAAGAAAGACCAAAGGATGGCATTACCAACCTCTGAAATTAAACTCGTAGGAGCGCAAGCAAGCACGATTTCCGCACAAGGCCCCTAACAGATACCACGGCGGAGGTTCATGGAGGCCAGGCCTCGCCTGCTCCTCCGCGAAAAATCAGAGGACACGCAGAAAGTTGGACAGACGCGCAACAAGTACCCTCAGGCTGGCCACGGCACAGCTCTCTCCGACCAAAGCTGTGCGACCTAGGCGACATCGACGGACGAGATCTAGCGCCCTAACGCCAACACCGCAACGGAACGCGCCGATCCAGGGCCCGAGCAGGCATGGGAGGCGAAGAAAATTTCGGTCGACGCGGCGCAAAATCGGGGAGGAGTCAGGGGAGGGGGGTCGGAATGGAGGGAGGATCACCTCGATGTTGTGCTCCTCGAGCTGGGCGCGGAGCAGCTCGGCGGGGGTCATGGTGGGGGGGTAAAAGCTTGGCGGAGGGGAAAGTAAAACCCTAGCTAGGGGGATTTTTTTTTTGGTGAGACGGAGAGCGGAGGAGCGAAGAGAGACTGCGACCAAGGGAGGAGGAAGACAAGAGACCGGCTTGACTCCTGTGGGGTTTTGGTGCGCTCTGGTGGTCTTCACGGTGGGCCGTGGGCGTGGACTGGGCCAAGACCGTGCCGTTTGGGCATTTGGGATTATGGGTGGAACCCGTTTCCTTAGCCCATCTTTGCAATGTTGCCCAATGCGAGTCCAGTGGCTCATCTGCTGACGTCATGTCGCTTTTTTTTTGTTTCTGTTTTTCCTTCCGTTTTTATTCACTTTTTTTCTATTTTATTTAAATTTAGAAATTTTCTCAATATATGTATATATATATTTTTTAAAAACACTTTACATTTTTTTAAATGTTAGTATTGCATTCGAAAAATGTTAAACATGCACATAAAAAAATTTGGTGTATACAAACATATCCAAATGTGAATAACAAAGCATACGGTTAATCTTGTTCTTGCGAGTATAAGTTTCAAACTACACATTCTCACACGTAATCAGTGGATCGCATGCACTTAGGACGACCTTCATACATCTGTGCGAGTTAAATACAGCGGAGGTGCCTAAACTTGTCATGCGCGGTCAGTTTGGTACCTAAAATTGACTCATGCCCAAACTTGTTCATTCGTCATATACGGTGCCTCCTTCCGTATTCAAACATACGCCCTGCCCACGTGAAGTGTCAGCATGGCAGTGCCCCACATGTAAGTGGATACGTGCGGGGAGGAATTATTTTGCAGAAACATCGCTTTTATTTTGCTTAGTCATGTAGGAAAGCCCTAAAAACCAGTGTATGCTAGAGAGAAATAATACGAAAAAAAATCTGCATGGCGGTCTTTCTAACTTGCACTTCCAGGTTACCAAATGTCACGATCTGCCCACGCAGGCAAACTATCCGGTACGTGCAGGTAATAGCTATAAAATTATGTAGACCAATTCCACGTGGTGCTTTGCAATTTTTCCGATGCATAACCGGTCAGTTCCATTTTTTTATTTTTTCCGACTTCCTGTTTAGTTTTATGACACGCAAATTTTCCCATATAAAAAAATACAATAATTATCTCAGTTACTGTGTATTTTTTTTCATTGTGTACTTTAAAGAGGTAAAATTAACTGTTTCAAACATTTAAGGGTTTAAAAATTTCAATAAATATTTTAGATTAGTGTGTAGATTTATATATCTTCATTCCGGACCAGAAGCAAACACAATTATTGTGTTTCTTCATTGTATTTACGAAATACAAAATTATAAAAAAAATTGGAAACATTGTATTTTTTGAAATTTTTCAACATATATGAAAATTACTGTTTAATAATATTAAATTCTAGAAATGTATCAAAACATGTCACCCGTGTTTGTAGAATGTTAAGCAGAATTTTACACAGCAATTTTTTAATACTCGATGAACATATTCTAAAACATGTTGAACCTGATGAATTTCGAAAACACGTTATAACTTTTGAATACATGTGAAACATTTTCCAAAAACCTGAAATGCACTAGCACTTTCTTTTAAGTTTATGGCAGTTGTAAGTTTTTCTTGCATTTCTTCTTTCAAAAGGTAAAGACAATATCAAAGACAAAAAATAAACACAAACTTGAAAAAATAAAAATACAACTTGTGTGAGCCCAAACGAGCGCCATATATAAAAGAATCACTTGAAGAGGTACATAACAGCCAAAGCGGAATTTCGGAGCATGGTGCCCACTGAGCATGTTTTTTTAAGGTTAAAAACTGTCACTTAAAAGTTTAGCTTTTTTTTCACACCCAAAACGTATGCATGTGTCTGACGGTCAAACTCGGTATGAAATTATGTTATATTATACCCTGCAATAAAGACAAACTTCCAGCCAAATAACAAGCTAAAATTTGCATGTATCTTTTTTGTATCCCTCACTTACAAACGCGAATTTTGATGAAAATCCGCACAATATATTACACTTCTATATGTGCACGTTTAAAAGATTTTGGAATTTTTTTTGAGTTGTAAAAATCTATTTCTCTGAACTTAAGAGAAACAGGCACAGTACGCCCGCGCTCCAAAGTTACCATTTGCACAGCAATGCCATATATATAATTTGACCTCATGAAAGTCCATGTGCATATTTTGGCGTGGTGGGTAGCCTGTGCGTACAATGCAATCTGCGATCATGAGATCTCAGCATCGATTCTAAATAATGCAATAATATTTTTACTGTTGGCCACCCAGCTCCTTCTCCGCTCTCAGCCACTTACATGTGGGCCACCGGCATGCTGTCACGCCATGCGGGCATAGCATACATCCGGATACGGAAGGAGGCACCATATTTACACAGCCAGATAAGTTTCAGCATCAATTTCATGTATTTTACAACTTTAAACATTAAACTGAACAAGTTGAGGCACCCCTAATGTACTTAACTCCATCTGTGCACCTTGATGCAGTCGTGCCTGGATGGGCGGAGGTGCTGCCACTTTGTGTAAACGCAGTGGGCAAGAGAAGTGTTGACTTATCAACTGTAGTACTACCTCCGTTTCAGTTTACAAGTCCTACGCGTATACCTAGGTTTGCCAATTTTATCATCTTAATATAAATTATATAACATAAAAATTATACGGTTTGAAAATAGAACATCTGAAGTTTATATTGATATATTTTTTGTAATATATGACTTGTATTAGGTTGGTCAAATTGACAATCTAGAGGCACGCGCACGTCCTATAAACTGAGAGAGATAGTACCAATACTACAATCTCTCCGACAGCGCCATAAATGAAACGACTGTGATCGAGCGAGCGCAACCAAAAATCATTATTGGTGCCGGAGTACGGAGCATACGATACCCATCGCATCGCACGCACGGCGCTCATCATTACCGCATTAACTAATCCCAACTTAATCTTACTACGTACTCCCTCTGTAAACTTTTATAAGAGCGTTTACAATTTTAGGACACAGCCGACAAATGGCGAATTAGACCTTTTTACCCTCGATTTGAATTCGCGTCGTCTTCCTCCTCCAGGAGCTCGCGCCGTCCCCATCCCCCAGGAGCTCGCGCCGTCCCCTTCCCCCAGGAGCTCGCGCCGTCCCCATCCCTCAGGAGCTCGCGTCGTCCCCATCCTCCAGGAGCTCGCGTCGTCCCCATCCTCCAGGAGCTCGTGCCGTCGTCTTCCTCCAGGAGCTCGTGTCGTCGTCTTCCTCCAGAAGCTTGCGCCGTCCCCCTCCTCCAGTAGCTTGCGTCGTCCCCCTCCTCCACGAGCACGCATCGTCCCCATCATCCAGGCGCTCGGCCCTGTTTCCAGGCGCTCGGCCCCGCGCCCAGGCACCCAGTTTGGTCGCCTCCGCCTCAGCTTGGTCGCCTCCGCCTCAGCTTGGTCGCCGCCGCGCCCAGCTTGGTCGCCGCCCCCTCAGCTTGGTCCTCGCCGTGCCCAGCCCACCTGACTCGTCACTACGCAGCACGTGGTCTCCAGGCAGGTTCTCCTTGCCTCGCCCCTTGCACAACAACAGAAATTACTCCATGAATGTACAGATGTATTTACAGAAGAATTACTCCATGTTCTCATGCTGTAGTTACAGTAAGATCATGAATTACAACATGGAGTACTTGTCTGCAGTAATGTGATCTTGCTCAAGTAAATCATGAACTACAGCTGGGAGTACCTAACTGCAGTAATGTGATCTTGCTCCCTGGAGTAAATTTTACTGTAAATTCTGCAAACAGACTGGAGTATCAGTACAGGGATCAGTTAAATTCGGCATAGATTCAATTAAATGCATAGATTTAGATAAATGCATAATCACACATGAGATGCTGCACTTGTTTGTCAAAATACAGAGTATTGTACTCCTACTGCACAGAAGAATTGTCGCTTGTCTGCACAGTATCACTTGTGTGTCAAGAAACATCACTATGAAATGGATTATGTCAAAATACAAATCTGTCAAATGAGTACAGTAGCAGATTGACCAAATGAGTACCAGTACCTTGTTTTAATTTTTTTTGTTGCAACCGGACCATATTAATAAGAAATTTACTCATTGATATATCTGTATTTTGTTTGTTGCAACCAATCTAAACGTTACTGTTGTTAAATGCTAATCAAATGAAGGAGCATTTTATCTCTATAGCTAGAATCTTACAGAGTACAAATGCAGAAGTTTCAGTTAAATTCACAAGAAGTTTCAGTTACTACTACTCTTGCATTATCTAGGATTATCTAGATGGCATTACTACTACTAAATGCAGGAGTACGTTGCAGAAGATACATTGTTTCATGGTTAAGCAACCTAGAGATAAGATCTATGGTTTGTTTGTTTTTCCCCTTTTGGAGTATTAAACTTGCTTTTTTGGAAAATTTCAGAGTAATTATAGAAGCAACAGCACCAAAACAGTATGGTGCTCCCAGACTTGAACTGCACACCACCTGCAGGAGAAGAAGGAGCAGATGTCAACATGGTCCAAGAAGAAGCAAATGATGATGATAATATGCCCCAAGAAGAAAATGATGATGACAATATGCTCCAAGAAGAAGCAGATGATGATGACAATATGCTCGAAGAAGAAGCTGATGATAATGACAATATGCTCCAAGAAGATGACAGTATGCTACAAGAAGCAACAGGTACAGTTTTGATCATACTCCTAGTTGATATACTCCTTCATACTCCAATTTTCATAGTTTTCTTATTGTACCACAATTTCCCTAAACTTTTTTTTCCTTTTGCTACTGTAGGTGGTCAGCAGTTACGTAGGCAAAGACAGTCAATGCCAGATGAGCAGAGATATGCTGCCTACATGGCACTACATACCCTCAATCTGGCTAGGGGTGGCAAATTCAAAAGAAATGACAAGAAGGATGTTGCTCAAATTTTTCAAGTTGGTGTTCAACATATTCGAAAAATCTGGACGATAGCAGAGCGACAAAAAGCACTTGGTCAGG